TCTAGTCTATAGTCTAGTCTATAGTATAAGTCTAGTCTATAGTCTAGTCTATAGTCTAGTCTATAGTCTAGTCTATAGTCTAGTCTAGTCTATATCTTAGTCTATAGTCTAGTCTATAGTCTAGTCTATAGTCTAGTCTAGTTTAGTATGTCTCTAGTCTTGTCTACAGTCTAGTCTATAGTCTAGTCTATAATCTAGTCTATAGTCTAGTCTATAGTCTGGTCTATAGTCTAGTCTATAGTCGTAGTCTATAGTCTAGTCTATAGTCTAGTCTATAGTCTATCGTCTAGTCTATAGACTTGTCTTAGTCTAGTCTATAGACTTGTCTATAGTCTAGTCTATAGTCTTGTCTATAGTCTAGTTCTATAGTCTAGTCTATAGTCTATAGTCTATTCTATAGTCTAGTTCTATAGTCTATTCTATAGTTAGTCTATATTTCTAGTCTATAGTCTAGTCTATAGTCTAGTCTATAGTCTAGTCTATAGTTTAGTCTATAGTCTAGTCTATAGTCTAGTCTATAGTCTAGTCTATAGCTAGTCTATAGTCTAGTCTATAGTCTAGTCTATAGTCTAGTCTATAGTCTAGTCTATAGTCTAGTCTATAGTCTAGTCTAGTAGTCAAGTCTATAGTCTAGTCTATAGTCTAGTCTATAGTCTAGTCTATAGTCTAGTCTATAGTCTAGTCTATAGTCTAGTCTAGTCTAGTCTATAGTCTAGTCTATAGTCTAGTACTATAGTCTAGTCTATAGTCTAGTCTATAGTCTAGTCTATAGTCTAGTCTATAGTCTAGTCTATAGTCTAGTCTATAGTCTAGTCTATAGTCTAGTCTATAGTCTAGTCTATAGTCTAGTCTATAGTCTAGTCTATAGTCTAGTCTATAGTCTAGTCTATAGTCTAGTCTATAGTCTAGTCTATAGTCTAGTCTATAGTCTAGTCTATAGTCTAGTCTATAGTCTAGTCTATAGTCTAGTCTATAGTCTAGTCTAGTCTAGTCTATAGTCTAGTCTAGTTCTAGTCTAGTCTATAGTCTAGTCTATAATCTAGTCTATAGTCTAGTCTATAGTCTGGTCATAGTCTAGTCTATAGTCTAGTCTATAGTCTAGTCTATAGTCTAGTCTATAGTCTAGTCTATAGTCTAGTCTATAGACTTGTCTATAGTCTAGTCTATAGATTTGTCTATAGTCTAGTCTATAGTCTTGTCTATAGTCTAGTCTATAGTCTAGTCTATAGTCTAGTCTATCAGTCTATTCTATAGTCTAGTCTATAGTCTATTCTATAGTATAGTCTAATTTCTGTCTATAGTCTAGTCTATAGTCTAGTCTATAGTCTAGTAGTCTATAGTCTAGTCTATATTCTAGTCTATAGTCTAGTATAGTAGTCTAGAGTCTAGTCTATAGTCTAGTCTATAGGTCTAGTCTATAGTCTAGTCTATAGTCTAGTCTATGTATAGTTCTAGTCTAGTCTAGTCTATAGTCTAGTCTATAGTCTATTAGTCTAGTCTAGTCTAGCTGTAGTCAAGTCTATAGTCTAGTCTATAGTCTAGTCTATAGTCTAGTCTATAGTCTAAGTCTATAGTCTAGTCTATAGTCTAGTCTATAGTCTAGTAGTCTATAGTCTAGTCTATAGTCTAGACTATAGTCTAGTCATAGTCTAGTCTAGTCTATAGTCTAGTCTATAGTCTAGTCTATAGTCTAGTCTATAGTCTAGTCTATAGTCGAGTCTATAGTCTAGTCTCTAGTCTAGCTATAGTCTAGTCTATAGTCTAGTCTATAGTCTAGTCTATAGTTAGTCTATAGTCTAAGTCTATAGTCTAGTCTATAGTCTAGTCTATAGTCTAGTCTATAGTCTAGTCTATAGTCTAGTCTATAGTCTAGTCTATAGTCTAGTCTATAGTCTAGGTCTATAGTCTAGTCTATAGTCTAGTCTATAGTCTAGTCTATAGTCTAGTCTATAGTCTAGTCTATAGTCTAGTCTATAGTCTAGTCTATAGTCTAGTCTATAGTCTAGTCTATAGTCTAGTCTATAGTCTAGTCTATAGTCTAGTCTATAGTCTAGTCTATAGTCTAGTCTATAGTCTAGTCTATAGTCTAGTCTATAGTCTAGTCTATAGTCTAGTCTATAGTCTAGTCTATAGTCTAGTCTATAGTCTAGTCTATAGTCTAGTCTATAGTCTAGTCTATAGTCTAGTCTATATTCTAGTCTATAGTCTAGTCTATAGTCTAGTCTATAGTCTAGTCTATAGTTTAGTCTATAGTCTAGTCTATATTCTAGTCTATAGTCTAGTCTATAGTCTAGTCTATAGTCTAGTCTATAGTCTAGTCTATAGTCTAGTCTGTAGTCTAGTCTATAGTCTAGTCTATAGTCTAGTCTATAGTCTAGTCTATAGTCTAGTCTGTAGTCAAGTCTATAGTCTAGTCTATAGTCTAGTCTATAGTCTAGTCTATAGTCTAGTCTATAGTCTAGTCTATAGTCTAGTCTATAGTCTAGTCTATAGTCTAGTCTATAGTCTAGTCTATAGTCTAGACTATAGTCTAGTCTATAGTCTAGTCTATAGTCTAGTCTATAGTCTAGTCTATAGTCTAGTCTATAGTCTAGTCTATAGTCTAGTCTATAGTCTAGTCTATAGTCTAGTCTATAGTCTAGTCTATAGTCTAGTCTATAGTCTAGTCTATAGTCTAGTCTATAGTCTAGTCTATAGTCTAGTCTATAGTCTAGTCTATAATCTAGTCTATAGTCTAGTCTATAGTCTAGTCTATAGTCTAGTCTAGTTTAGTCTAGTCTATAGTCTTGTCTACAGTCTAGTCTATAGTCTAGTCTATAATCTAGTCTATAGTCTAGTCTATAGTCTGGTCTATAGTCTAGTCTATAGTCTAGTCTATAGTCTAGTCTATAGTCTAGTCTATAGTCTAGTCTATAGTCTAGTCTATAGTCTAGTCTATAGACTTGTCTATAGTCTAGTCTATAGACTTGTCTATAGTCTAGTCTATAGTCTTGTCTATAGTCTAGTCTATGTCTAGTCTATAGTCTAGTCTATAGTCTATTCTATAGTCTAGTCTATAGTCTATTCTATAGTCTAGTCTATATTCTAGTCTATAGTCTAGTCTATAGTCTAGTCTATAGTCTAGTCTATAGTTTAGTCTATAGTCTAGTCTATATTCTAGTCTATAGTCTAGTCTATAGTCTAGTCTATAGTCTAGTCTATAGTCTAGTCTATAGTCCTAGTCTATAGTCTAGTCTATAGTCCTAGTCTGTAGTCTAGTCTATAGTCTAGTCTATAGTCTAGTCTATAGTCTAGTCTATAGTCTAGTCTGTAGTCAAGTCTATAGTCTAGTCTATAGTCTAGTCTATAGTCTAGTCTATAGTCTATAGTCTAGTCTATAGTCTAGTCTATAGTCTAGTCTATAGTCTATAGTCTAGTCTAGTAGTCTAGTCTAGTCTATAGTCTAGTCTATAGTCTAGTACTATAGTCTATCTATAGTCTAGTCCTATAGTCTAGTCTATAGTCTAGTCTAGTCTAGTCTATAGTCTTCTAGTCTCTAGTCTAGACTATAGACTAGATTATAGACTAGACTATAGACTAGACTATAGACTATAGACTCTAGTCTATAGTCTAGTCTATAGTCTAGTCTGTAGTCAAGTCTATAGTCTAGTCTATAGTCTAGTCTATAGTCTAGTCTATAGTCTAGTCTATAGTCTAGTCTATAGTCTAGTCTATAGTCTAGTCTATAGTCTAGTCTATAGTCTAGTCTATAGTCTAGTCTATAGTCTAGTCTATAGTCTAGACTATAGTCTAGTCTATAGTCTAGTCTATAGTCTAGTCTATAGTCTAGTCTAGTCTATAGTCTAGTCTATAGTCTAGTCTATAGTCTAGTCTATAGTCTAGTCTATAGTCCTAGTCTATAGTCTAGTCTATAGTCTAGTCTATAGTCTAGTCTATAGTCTAGTCTATAGTCTAGTCTATAGTCTAGTCTATAGTCTAGTCTATAGTCTAGTCTATAGTCTAGTCTATAGTCTAGTCTATAGTCTAGTCTATAGTCAGTCTATAGTCTAGTCTATAGTCTAGTCTAAGTTAGTCTATAGTCTAGTCTAGTCTCGTCTATAGTCTAGTCTAGTCTAGTCTATAGTCTAGTCTATAGTCCTAGTCTATAGGTCTAGTCTATAGTCTAGTCTATAGTCAGTCTATAGTCAGTCTAGTAGTCTAGGTCTATAGTCTAGTCTATAGTCTAGTCTATAGTCTAGTCTATAGTCTAGTCTTAGTCTGTCGATAGTCTAGTCTATAGTCTAGTCTATAGTCTAGTCTATAGTTCTAGTCTATAGTCTAGTCTATAGGTCTAGTCTAGTAGTCTAGTCTATAGTCTAGTCTATAGTCTAGTCTATAGTCTAGTCTAAGTCTAGTCTATAGTCTAGTCTATAGTCTAGTCTATAGTCTGTAGTCTATAGTCTAGTCTATAGTCCTAGTCTATAGTCTAGTCTATAGTCTAGTCTATAGTCTAGTCTATAGTCTAGTCTATAGTCTAGTCTATAGTCTAGTCTATAGTCTAGTCTATAGTCTAGTCTATAGTCTAGTCTATAGTCTTGTCTATAGTCTAGTCTATAGTCTGTCTATAGTCTAGTCTATAGTCTTGTCTATAGTCTAGTCTATAGTTGTCTATAGTCTAGTCTATAGTCTAGTCTATAGTCTAGTCTATAGTCTAGTCTATAGTAGTCTATAGTCTAGTCTATAGTCTAGTCTATATTCTAGTCTATAGTCTAGTCTATAGTCTAGTCTATAGTCTAGTCTATAGTCTCGTCTATAGTTTAGTCTATAGTCTACTCTATATTCTAGTCTATAGTCTAGTCTATAGTCTAGTCTATAGTCTAGTCTATAGTCTTGTCTATAGTCTAGTCTATAGTCTAGTCTATAGTCTAGTCTGAAGACTAATCAATAGTCGACTATAAATTTTTTTTTATCTATTTATATAAATTTTTAAACTTTTTTACCACTTTCTTTTAATTACTCACCATACTTTTCAATAAACTTTTGCATTTCTTCCGTTCGGCTAATATTATTTTTATTCAAATCCTGACTGAAAATGATTTTCCACATTTGAGCACCATGATAATTAACATAATTTTCATCAAAATCACTGCGAAAATCCGATTTTCTACCCACATGAACATTAGGACGAACTACCCGTAAAATATTACGAAAACCACCGAAAAATGGCCAACGAGCCAAAAGTTGTGTTCTAGGCACATAGATAATTTCCTGTGAATTTGCGATATGAGAACATTTTAGAAATGTGGCAAATATTAAAATAGAAGTGAAGCTAGATATCTTTAACTGCATTTCTTCTTTACACGTCCGTACGAAACGATGTTAATCGAAATAAAGACGAGCGTTGAATGTTGGCAAAATTTGCAAATTCATAATCGAAAGACACCAACCACTCCAATCAACAAACCATTCATCCCATCAGCCATTCATAATAGTTTTGCCTATAAGATCGATATATTTTGTTTGATTATTTTACAGTTATGAAAACTTGAAAAAAAATGCTAAAATGAAATCGACAAATCGTAAAAAAAACATAAAGAAATAATAATAATAACCAAAAGAAATGTTGCTAACAAAGAAAAATGTAAAATAATGTGTTTCGGAAGTTGTTGGAAGCATTGTATTCAAGCTATTTATGATTTTACCTTTGTTTCTCTTTCATTAGTGCTCCAAATTGCTATTTTGATCAAATTTTCTATATATTTTTCACGTAATAACTAATGATTTATGTGATCACAGCATCTTTTTTTATTAAAAAATTTCAAATTTTTGATTCGTATTTAAAATTAAATATTTGAATATTTGTCATAATTTTTTTTTAGTTAAACAACAAATTTCACCTCTACCAGCATCTTTAGCAAAATTCAAAATGATCAGTAGTTGATATGCTTATGTTGTTTCTAAATGACTTTTACCTTAATTTTGTTTGTATTTTCAACATTTTTGCGGATTTTCTTAAGTGGTCGAATACGCTACACTAATATGTATGACATAGTTGGTATGTTAATAAGTTTGTCTGTATTCAAGAAAATCCAATGCGACAATGAAAGCAAAGTAATTATTTCTTGAGGCTTTTGTCTAATCTGTAGTTTAGTCTATATTCTAGTCTGCAGTTTGATCCGTAGCCTAGTCTATAGTCTAGTCTATAGTCTAGTCTATAGTCTAGTCTATAGTCTAGTCTATAGTCTAGTCTATAGTCTAGTCTATAGTCTAGTCTATAGTCTAGTCTATAGTCTAGTCTATAGTCTAGTCTATAGTCTAGTCTATAGTCTAGTCTATAGTCTAGTCTATAGTCTAGTCTATAGTCTAGTCTATAGTCTAGTCTATAGTCTAGTCTATAGTCTAGTCTATATTCTAGTCTATAGTCTAGTCTATAGTCTAGTCTATAGTCTAGTCTATAGTCTAGTCTATAGTCTAGTCTATAGTCTAGTCTATAGTCTAGTCTATAGTCTAGTCTATAGTCTAGTCTATAGTCTAGTCTATAGTCTAGTCTATAGTCTAGTCTATAGTCTAGTCTATAGTCTAGTCTATAGTCTAGTCTATAGTCAAGTCTATAGTCTAGTTTATAGTCTAGTCTATAGTCTAGTCTATAGTCTAGTGTATAGTCTAGTGTATAGTCTAGTGTATAGTCTAGTATATAGTATAGTCTAGTCTATAGTCTAGTCTATAGTCTTGTCTATAGTCTAGTCTATAGTCTTGTCTATAGTCTAGTCTATAGTCTAGTCTATAGTCTAGTTTATAGTCTAGTCTATAGTCTAGTCTATGGTCTAGTCTATAGTCTATAGTATAGTCTATAGTCTAGTCTATAGTCTAGTCTATAGTCTAGTCTATAGTCAAGTCTATATTCTACTCTATAGTCTAGTCTATAGTCTAGTCTATAGTCTAGTCTATAGTCTAGTCTATAGTCTAGTCTATAGTCTAGTCTATAGTCTAGTCTATAGTCTAGTCTATAGTCTAGTCTATAGTCTAGTCTATAGTCTAGTCTATAGTCTAGTCTATGGTCTAGTCTATAGTCTAGTCTATAGTCTAGTCTATAGTCTAGTCTATAGTCTAGTGTATAGTCTAGTATATAGTGTAGTCTATAGTCTGGTTTACAGTTTAGTCTATAGTCAAGTTTATATTCTGATTTATAGTATAGTCTATATTCAAGTCTATATACATAGTTATAGTGTATAGTTTATAGTCTATTTCATAGTCTAGTATGTAGTCTAAATAGAGCACTCTATAATCGTTGCCTTTCATTCTTTTAGGGACCGTCTCATTTTATAATCAAAAACCTAATAGTCTGCATGAAAAGCAATAAAGAAACTTTAAAAATGTTATGTAAAATGTTTACATACTATACATACATACAACTATGTTAATAAAAATTAATAGCCATTTTTAAATTTAAATTATGTATGTGATTAATTCTTTTAATAACAGTCCCTATACCCTTCCCTATCTTTCTTTACAGCTAAATAAAAGTATTTAAAATGCAAAAATTTGATATTCTAAGCTTCTGATTCTATGTTTTAATTAATTTTATTTGAAAAATCTATTAATACTATTCAAATTAAAGTTAGACTTATGTTATTGAACACTTAGTTAATTGGCTAAAGTTATTTCGATAATAAAAAATTAACGGCTAAATAGTTGTGGATTTGAAAAATGTGTAGTATAATTATTTAGCTTTAAGTTATTGTCATAGTTTATTGAACTCATAATTTATTATAAATGTTTTTTTGTTTTTAAATTTAAGAATTTTGTTTAACAGTAGTGGCAACTTGACAGAGATCTGACAGTGTAATATACATATGTACATTCTAAAAACAAACATTAAAATAAAGGTTTATGACTGAACTAAGTCAGGGTTTGGAACAAGTTTCTTTAAATCCATTAGTAACATATAACAATAATAACAACTATGAATCTCAATATATATGTATGTATATCATTTTAATATTTACTTTTTTTTCTTTGCAGGTATGTTGATCTTTTTTTTTATTACTCTCTAAATATTCTCTTGGGTGAGTAATACATATAATATTTTCAAAAATACATCTTTCTAGATTTCCATCAAATATTATTAAAATTTTATGACAAGTAGAGAGTAATTTATTAAAAATACCATTTTGCATTTCTTGAACTTTAAATATTAAAAGTAATCGCTTTATCACATCAGTTTTTGAATTCCCAACATGTAGTTGTAGTGAAATATCTAGTAAAGTTCAAGGTCAAAACACTTTCTTTATGTTATATACAGACAACACACACATACATACATCACATCAATGACTTTTCACAGAGTTTCAACAAAACTTCCAAAAATATAAACACAGGAAAGAAACAATGTCGTTAAGTACAGTAGAATGTCAATTAAATGAAATGAAATCACATTTAAATTAATGGAGTCTGAATATAAAGTAATTAATAAGGGTCAATTGGTTCTAACTGAATAGTTCTTTCTAAGTGTGGGATTAAACAAAGGCCACCAAGAGGTGGACTTTGAAACGGTTACGTTAGATTATTACACTAGATTCGAGAAAAATACATGCATAAAGACTACACTATAGACTAGACTATAGACTAGACTATAGACTAGACTATAGACAAGACTATAGCCTAGACTATAGACTAGACTATAGACTAGACTATAGACTAGACTATAGACTAGACTATAGACTAGACTTTAGACTAGACTATAGACTAGACTATAGACTAGACTCTAGACTAGACTATAGACTAGACTATAGCCTAGACTATAGCCTAGACTATAGACTAGACTATATACTAGACTATAGACTAGACCATAGACTAGACTATAGACTAGACTAGACTATAGACTAGACTATAGACTAGACTATAGACTAGACTATAGACTAGACTATAGACTAGACTATAGACTAAACTATAGTCTAGACTATAGACTAGACTATAAACTAGACTATAAACTAGACTATAGACTAGACTAGACTATAGACTAGACTATAGACTAGACTATAGACTAGACTATAGACTAGACTATAGACTAGACTATAGACTAGACTATAGACTAGACTATAGACTAGACTATAGACTAGACTATAGACTAGACTATAGACTAGACTATAGACTAGACTATAGACTAGACTATAGACTAGACTATAGACTAGACTATAGACTAGACTATAGACTAGACTATAGACTAGACTATAGACTAGACTATAGACTAGACTATAGACTAGACTATAGACGAGACTATGGACTAGACTATAGACTAGACTATAGACTAGACTATAGACGAGACTATGGACTAGACTATAGACTAGACTATAGACTAGACTATAGACTAGACTATGGACTAGACTATAGACTAGACTATAGACTAGACTATAGACTAGACTATGGACTAGACTATAGACTAGACTATAGACTAGACTATAGACTAGACTATAGATTAGACTATAGACTAGACTATAGACTAGACTATAGACTAGACTATAGACTAGACTATAGACTAGACTATAGACTAGACTATAGACTAGACTATAGACTAGACTATAGACTAGACTATAGACTAGACTATAGACTAGACTATAGACTAGACTATAGACTAGACTATAGACTAGACTATAGACTAGACTATAGACTAGACTATAGACTAGACTATAGACTAGACTATAGACTAGACTATAGACTAGACTATAGACTAGACTATAGACTAGACTATAGACTAGACTATAGACTAGACTATAGACTAGACTATAGACTAGACTATAGACTAGACTATAGACTAGACTATAGACTAGACTATAGACTAGACTATAGACTAGACTATAGACTAGACTATAGACTAGACTATAGACTAGACTATAGACTAGACTATAGACTAGACTATAGACTAGACTATAGACTAGACTATAGACTAGACTATAGACTAGACTATAGACTATGCTATAGACTAGACTATAAACTAGGCTATAGACTAGACTATAGACTAGACTATAGACTAGACTATAGACTAGACTATAGACTAGACTATAGACTAGACTATAGACTAGACTATAGACTAGACTATAGACTAGACTATAGACTAGACTATAGACTAGACTATAGACTAGACTACAGACTAGACTATAGACTAGACTATAGACTAGACTATAGACTAGACTATAGACTAGACTATAGACTAGACTATATAGACTAGACTATAGACTAGACTATAGACTAGACTATAGACTAGACTATAGACTAGACTATAGACTAGACTATAGACTACTAGACTAGACTATAGACTAGACTAGACTAGAACTATAGACTAGACTATAGACTAGACTATAAACTAGACTATAACTAGACTATAGACTAGACTAGACTATAGACTAGACTATAGACTAGACTATAGACTAGACTATAGACTAGACTATAGACTAGACTATAGACTAGGCTATAGACTAGACTATAGACTAGACTATAGACTAGACTATAGACTAGACTATAGACTAGACTATAGACTAGACTATAGACTAGACTATAGACTAGACTATAGACTAGACTATAAACTAGACTATAAACTAGACTATAGACTAGACTAGACTATAGACTAGACTATAGACTAGACTATAGACTAGACTATAGACTAGACTATAGACTAGACTATAGACTAGACTATAGACTAGACTATAGACTAGACTATAGACTAGACTATAGACTAGACTATAGACTAGACTATAGACTAGACTATAGACTAGACTATAGACTAGACTATAGACTAGACTATAGACTAGACTATAGACTAGACTATAGACTAGACTATAGACTAGACTATAGACGAGACTATGGACTAGACTATAGACTAGACTATAGACTAGACTATAGACGAGACTATGGACTAGACTATAGACTAGACTATAGACTAGACTATAGACTAGACTATGGACTAGACTATAGACTAGACTATAGACTAGACTATAGACTAGACTATGGACTAGACTATAGACTAGACTATAGACTAGACTATAGACTAGACTATAGATTAGACTATAGACTAGACTATAGACTAGACTATAGACTAGACTATAGACTAGACTATAGACTAGACTATAGACTAGACTATAGACTAGACTATAGACTAGACTATAGACTAGACTATAGACTAGACTATAGACTAGACTATAGACTAGACTATAGACTAGACTATAGACTAGACTATAGACTAGACTATAGACTAGACTATAGACTAGACTATAGACTAGACTATAGACTAGACTATAGACTAGACTATAGACTAGACTATAGACTAGACTATAGACTAGACTATAGACTAGACTATAGACTAGACTATAGACTAGACTATAGACTAGACTATAGACTAGACTATAGACTAGACTATAGACTAGACTATAGACTAGACTATAGACTAGACTATAGACTAGACTATAGACTAGACTATAGACTATGCTATAGACTAGACTATAAACTAGGCTATAGACTAGACTATAGACTAGACTATAGACTAGACTATAGACTAGACTATAGACTAGACTATAGACTAGACTATAGACTAGACTATAGACTAGACTATAGACTAGACTATAGACTAGACTATAGACTAGACTATAGACTAGACTACAGACTAGACTATAGACTAGACTATAGACTAGACTATAGACTAGACTATAGACTAGACTATAGACTAGACTATAGACTAGACTATAGACTAGACTATAGACTAGACTATAGACTAGACTATAGACTAGACTATAGACTAGACTATAGACTAGACTATAGACTAGACTATAGACTAGACTATAGACTAGACTATAGACTAGACTATAGACTAGACTACAGACTAGACTTTAGACTAGACTATAGACTAGACTATAGACTAGACTATAGACTAGGCTATAGACTAGACTATAGACTAGGCTATAGACTATGCTATAGACTAGACTATAAACTAGGCTATAGACTAGACTATAGACTAGACTATAGACTAGACTAAAGCATAATCTATAGTCCTACCATGTGCAGTCAATCTAGTTCATATTTTATGGTCAGATGAAAACGTTTTTCGAAAAGGTGCAATTTCGAGGTGTGTGATTAGTAAACTGTGCTAAATAAGTTCAACAGCATTAAGATCTCGGCCATTATATATATGATACCAACTTTGTTCCAAAAATCGCTATTCAACTGTATTTTAGGTTCCTCGTTTTTTTAATGTAATGCTCAGCTTTAGCAGAGCCCTTACAACAAAATTTAATATATCAAACTTAAGGATAACAAAACTATACAAAAAGGAAAAGCAAAATAAACCACATACAAAATGAAGCCAAGCAAAAATGTCCTTTGGCAAAAAACATGAATATTTCAGCTTGTAAAACAAACATGCAAACGAGATAAAGACAACAATAGACAGTCATAGTCTAACAAAAAATCTTTAGAATAGAGGAGAATAGATTGAATTGAATAAGGAACAAATATGTAAATAAATAATTTATTTGAAATATTTTCTTTATTTTTTTGTTTGTTTTTTAAATAGATTTTTGCATTAAAAATGCATTTTAATAAATTAAATTTTGTGTTTTACATTAAAAATATATGGGGGGAAATAAATAATTTCAATAAATAAATAAATAATTTAATTTAATTTTATAATAAATAAATAATTTAATTTAATAATAAATAAATATATTCTCTTGTTTTTGTTTTTTCTGTTTCGTTTCAATAAATAAATAAATTAATTTAACTAAATTTTGTAATAAATAAATTAAACTTATCACTAAAATGGTTTTTTCGCTAAAATAAGATTTATACTTTGTATAAATCCTGGCACTTAAGTTACTCTAGCATTTCATTAATTATGTCTTAGTGGGTTTTGTGAGCCTTCAATTTGCGTCTACGACCATTTTTGCCCATGGTAATGGCCTTGGCTACGGTCTCGACAAAGGTTAAACCATTTTTGCCATTGGGTTCAATGTATTCGGCAGGTAAAACAAAACCATAACGACCGCTATCACCCATTTCAATGGTGTAAGCGTATTTAATGCCAGCAATACCCTTGGCCCAATCATCCGAACCACCAGCAGCTGGATATAAGGTATTAGCCGAGGAACCTACAGTATATTTAGCACCAGTACTCTTGGTAATGATCTGTGGAATGATAAAAAATGTTATTTTTTGGAGTGACATTCAAATTCCGTAAAATACTAACCGTTCCCGCTTGTCTGGCCACCAAATCCAAATCGGCCATATCTTTGGTAACATGATAATCATAACCCCAAGGATATAAAATATATTGACCATAACTGTGGAATGATAGATAAGCCTTGAAGGTATCTCTGGGGAAATTACTAATGAATTTGGAAATATAGAATGTCTCAGGTTCCGAGAAAGCTTTGCTGCCTCTATAGGTCTGGGCACAAGGATTAGCTGAAGTGCCTTTACCACCCCATTTATAGCCGAAATTACGATTCAAATCAACACCAGGACAGGCACGACCATGTGATCTCATATTCTTACGCCACAAACGATCGGTAGTGTGAGAGTATTCATAACCATCGGGATTGGCCACAGCATGAATATACCAATTAATATTACGCATATAAGCGGGTATTTCATCCCAACCTTCAACAATTCGATTGGCGATATAGGTGACTACAGCAGGACTGATCCATTCTCTGGCATGCATACCACCATCGATCCAAATACCGGGATTGTTAGCATTACCATTAGAGATCCTAGAATATTTATAACATTTTATTAGATTTGTTTTTTAGTTTTCTCGATAGTTCAAAACTTACTTTAAAATCGTCAAAGGTCTCTTTTCAATCGAATAACCAATAGTTTTACCGAGCAGATATCGGGATAGGTTTTAGCCATGAAATGGAAAAAACCATGTATGTCCTCCAAACGATGATATGCTTGCCAGGTCAAACGATGTCCTGAAAATTAGAAGAAAAAAATAATTTTAAATATTAGGATGTGTATATAATGGAGTTTAGTTTGCTAAAATTGTTAGGAAATAGCTTCACTATATCAGTCCTAATGGGCCGAACTTTAAACATGTGAAAAAATGTATCTGAGGCTGCTATAGAGATCAAATTCGGAGAATGTTAAAATCTACAATATTATTCTTATGGAAGTGTATGAAATCTATGGATCTGATATGCTAACTGAAGTCTTCGTGGTTGGACACAAAAGTAGTTCCATTAAAATCGAAAAGTTTTGATTCCTCAAATTAATTCAAAATGTTCTGTGTTTTTCTTGTGAAAGTGTGTGATATTTGTGCATATAATAAGCTAACTATAGTCCTCAAGACTGGACACAAAACTAGTTCCATTAAAAGTGATTAAAATCTGATATCTTTAACCAAACAAGCCATCTAAAAGTAGATGAAATAGACTCTAGTTCCTTTAGAAGTTAGAGTAATCTATATCCGTAGATCCGCATACTTTTAAACAAACTATTCCAAAGAAAATAACTGAGGAAGGATTCCATTATAAAAATAACATAAAGACGAAGTTCAAGCTATTGCAAGGGATTAGAACTAATTGCGTTAGCCGTATGAGGGATTAGCAGACGTTAGCCCTAATAAGGAGGGGCAAAAACTGTTCCTCTTTTAAGAAACTAAACGATAGGTTAAAGAACCAGCTACAACAATGAAGAAAATTTTAGTCGTAATCCAAAGTCCTAGGTAAACTTTTATAATAGAGCTGCTCTAAATCGCAATATGTCTTTAGAATTCTACATCAGGTTATCGTGATATGGGGTCTTTTGAAAAAATCCCCTTTTGGGCCATATTTGAGACTTTGTAAAGCGCAAAGATAGATTTATTTATATATTTTTTTTTTGTCATTTGAAAGTCCAATTACTGGACTTTAGAATAAGATTTTAAACTCTTGTACATATTCTTCCTTTTTCGAGATATCTCAAACTTAAGTTTCGAATTATTTGATTCAGTTGCTGAAACATGGAATCATTCGATTGTAATTGATATCGTTTTTTGGGTGTAATAATTTTTTTTTAATTAAATTAATTATTACATATCAAAATTGGCTTCCAACCTATTTGGCTTAAAGCCATAATAAATTAAATTTTTATTTTGTTTTCAACACAAAAGGAACTTAACTTTTTTTTCGGTTAAAGAAATGGAAAAACAATGATTTCATTTACAGAATAAAAGAAATTATATAAAAATTTTGTTTACATTTTTTTTTTTAATTTTTAAAAAACTATTCCTTCTCTTTCTTTACAAATAACCTTAAATCACTCCATTCGAAAAAAAATGGGAAATGATTGCTGTAGGAATTTATTGCATTACAACAATATTGATCAAACAAGTTAAATATTAACATTTACTTGCATTCAATTTACACACCCACCCCCAATATATATTGTTGTTATTGTTTCCAATATAAAAACATAAAACAAAAGTGCCCCCCCCCCAAAAAAACACTGAACGCATACTAAGTGCAATCTGATTATTATTACCTATAGTGTGAACGCATTATAAAGAAAATGTTTACAATTTACGCAATTGTTTGTTGTTGTTATTAAATGGCAACAATTACGTTATGCGTGTATGATAACAAAAGTTTAAAGAGTAGATAGAGAGAGGAGGCAAGGGAGAGGAAGTGTTGTATTTTGTATTGACAGTTTAATGCAAAAATAACTGATTACTCATGACATTTCCGTAAATGCTAAATAATAAGCAAATTTTAAAGAAATTTTTGTTAAATTTGAAAAGAAATTCTTAAGAATTTTACATTTTTAATGAATTTTCAATTTCAACTTAAATTCTTAAACTTCAAAACTGTATTAAAAGCAAACTTTACAGACCTTGTCAAAATTTGAAGTTTATAAAAGGAATACCATGACATTGCATGTTGAATTTACATTTGCATTTTACCTTTAACTTTAAATTTCAGTTTTTGTTTTTAGGTTCATTTACTTTTTTCGGTAAATTAAGGGTTTTTTTTAGCCATATGGCAAATTACATGTCTTGCTAGCTTTCAATATTTGTTGTAAAAGGCGTTTTTTTTGTTTTGTTTATTATTGACACTTCTTTCATGAGACAAGTGTCAGAAAATACAGAGGTTTTTTTGGGTGTTTTTTTTTTATTTATTTGCTAAAAGAAATTTCACTTTACCCAAAAATATATGTAGGTAAAAATCAAAGTTGAAAGCCGTATTTTTTGGGTTAAATTTAGTAAAATAATATTTATTTTAAGGTGATATAAATTAACCAAACTATCAACATGCCACAAAAATTGACATTAGTGGAAGAAAAAAAACTTCATAGAAGGACAAATAAGAAAAAAGAAGAAAAAATGAAATTGTAGGGTTTCCCATAAGCAAAAATACTTTAACACATTAAGAGGTAGGGTTTTAAGTTTGTTTAAATATAACTTCCGTTATTAATCGAATAATGCTAAACCAAATGTTTCCGGAAGAACGTTAAGAACGAAACAGATTCCTTTAGGTTAGTTTAGCGATCCAAAAATTCTCAATTGATCTGAACTTCTAAAAATTCCAAATTTACCCCCATAACTTTTAAAATATTGAAATTGACGGCTGATCGCGAAAAGCAAGATCTTTGAACATCATCTAGTCTTTAAGACTAAACAACTTCGCGAGAGAAACTCTTAGCTACAGAGCCGGATCAATATTATCTAATCACTCTGAGTGAATCACTCTTGCTGCTGTTGGACTATTCAAAACAATTTATGCTAAAGTTGTGTACCGAAATGGATCTTGCGATAAGTTTTATACGATCGCGAGTGATGGCAGTTCATTCCCAAGGAATTGATTTCCTTAGTTTCTTTGTTAAAGTAACAAATTCCCTTTAAAATATTGAAACTGATGACAGATCGCGAAAAGAACAACTAGCTATAAAGCTAAAGGTTTCATCTAGTCACTCTGGGTAAACCACTAACGTGAACTTTAGAGGTATTCATCTTTAATCAAGTTTAATCTGCTTAAGTTTGGATCGGTTAAAGTTTTAAAATTCCTATTTTTAAAGAAACTTGCGAACACTTTCACATGATCGCGAATGTTCACAATTCATTTTCAAATAATCAAATTCTTTAGGTTCATTCAACGGGCTCTCATTAGAAATGCATTAATTCTTTATTGAATTCTTAAACCATTCCAAATATATGAAATATTAAAAAAGACAACTGATCGCGAGAAGAAAAACTAGCAATAGAACTAGATCATTGAACATTATCTTATCACTCTGAGTAAATCGTACATGTGAAGTTCTCAGAGTTCATTGAAAGCTTCTCCTTAGAAATTAATTTACTCTTTACTCGAACACTTTCAAATGATCGCGAATGTTTACAATTCATTTTCAAATAATCAAATTCTTTAGGTTCATTCAACGGGCTCTCATTAGAAATGCATTAATTCTTTATTGAATTCTTAAACCATTCCAAATATATAAAATATTGAAAAAGACAATTGATCGCGAGAAGAAAAACTAGCAATAGAACTAGATCATTGAACATTTTTTAGTCACTATGAGTAAATCCTACATGTGGAGTTCTCAGAGTTCATTGAAAGCTTCTCCTTAGAAATTAATTTACTCTTCATTAATTTTTCTAAACCGAATCGTTAGTAAACAAATTAATAACTAAACTTTTGAAAATCTCTAACATCAGAAATTTCTTGATTTATATTCGCGATACGATTGGGAGGGAACAACAAAATGCATATCTGAAATGCTTAACGAGTAAGAAACCTTTTACGTAGATTGTTAAGAAAATTCATGAACTAACAACACAGCTGTTAAATTGAAAACTGTCAAAGCTAAACTGTATTCTCTTTTCTCTTTCTGAAATTCAATATACTCCCTCTTATGCCTAATTTAGCATATACTTGCTATATCCTGTTAAAACAAAACCTTTCTATAATTGTTTTATAATTAAAAACTAACACCCTTTTTTTAACCCCAAAAAAGTGGTGTGCATATATTCAATTATTTCAAAAACCCCTTTTTTTAATCCCTCAAAACATTTGGGTAGTATTTGTTTTAAGCTCAATTAAGTATGAAATAAAAACAAAACAAGTTATTCTTTGTTTTTCTTATTCCTAAACCCACTTAATCATACCCCTTTTTTTGAAATCAATTTAACATAAGTAAGAAGTACTTGGATTTCAATATACTTTTCTTCAACTTGTTTGCATAGCGTTTAACTCTAACCCTTATAGAAACACCTAGTAGTTTGATTTTGGAAATGAATTTTTATAATATCAAGAAAGAAATCAAGAATAATAATTGCAAAACACCTTGTCTAAATATTACCTTCAGCACGTAATATGGAACCAAAAAGTGTGTTTGGAAAACTATAATCATAAATATAAATGATCTTTATTTTTTCTTGGAGTTTTGGGTTATTATCTGATTTGCTACACCATTTCCTATTACACCATGGAATTACAGAAATATTCGTGTTTCAGAAATTTCCAATAATATTTCAGAATGTTGCAATTGATTTTCAGAATTTTCCAATTTGACTTCAACTTGACTTGATCTAATAGTATTTCAAAAACATTCATTTTTCAAAAATTTTTAATACGATTTGGGAATTATATTTTCTCGCAACTTCTAACAGTATTTTAGTTGGTAAGTTTGAAAGAAGGATGTACATATATACATCAAATCCGAAGAAATACACCTAGGCTTCTATCGGCCCTGTTGTGCGCTCCTTAACCAGTGCCTCAGGTGGGAATCGAACCCACCACCACCGGTCTACCAGATTAGAACACTAACCTACTGAAGGCAACTGTATTTTAAGAGTTATTAATTGTATTGTTTCCGAAAAGGTTCATGATCGCTCCACGATTCATTAACTGCAATGAAAAATGGAACCATTGCGATAATCCGAAGCACAAAGATCGTAATTTGAAGCCCGAATCGACAACAAAGCCAAATATCCAGGGCGCTAAGGTAATACTTCTTATTGGGTGGTTCCAAAAGTAAACTATCTACTCTAAGTTGTTAAAATCTGGCCAGAGCATCACAGGAAACCTGTACCAAATACAACTGATTCCTATGAAGCGAGCATTAGGCGAAAACCCCCTGAATATTCGGCCAGTTACGCAGGCAGCAGGTTTCATTCAAAAGCAGGGAAACCACTTGAAACCACTTCTTTGCATGTCCGAAAAGGTTCATGATCGCTCCACGATTCATTAACTGCAATGAAAAATGGAACCATTGCGATAATCCGAAGCACAAAGATCGTAATTTGAAGCCCGAATCGATAACAAAGCCAAATATCCAGGGCGCTAAGGTAATGCTTCGTATTGGGTGGTTCCAAAAACAAACTATCTACTCTAAGTTGCTAAAATCTGGCCAGAGCATCACAGGAAATCTGTATCAAATACAACTGATTCCTATGAAGAGAGCATTGGACGAAAAACCCCCGAATATTCGGTCAGTTACGCAGGCAGTAGGTTTCATCCAATTGGCTGCAATATGTATTAAAGACAAGAGACCTCGAAACCACTTCTTTGCATGTCCGAAAAGGTTCCACGATTCATTAACTGCAATGAAAAGCGGAGCCATTGCGATAATCCGAAGCACAAAGATCGTGATTTGAAGCCCTAATCGACAATATAGCCAATTATCCATGGCGCTAAGGTAATGCTTCGTATTTGGTGGTTCTAAGTTGCTAAAAACTGGCCAGAGCATCACAGGAAACCTGTAATATACAACTGATTCCTTTGTAGGGGGCATTGGGCGACGATAGCCCAGTTACGATAACCCTCACAGGTTATTTAGAAAGAAGTGTTTGGAAACTTTTGCATCAACCGCATTATAGCCCAGACCTTAACCCGTCTGACTACAATTCATTTAGATCTTTATATCGGAACAGAGTATTCGAAATTGTCTTGATGCGTTTTTAACCTGAAAATATGCGCAGGTAATGCTCTATATTTGGTGGCGCCAAGTGTCCTAACTATAATAAGCTACTGAAATCTAGACAGACCCTTAAGGGAAGCCTGCCGAATACAACTGATTCGTTTGAAGCGAGCATTATATGCTTCACTTCGGAACAGGGTATTCAAAATTGTCTTCGGAGCAGGGTATTCTAAATTGTTCTGAAGCGTTCTTGGCCTCAAAATATAAATTTCTTAAATTTCTTTTGTTAATGTTTTAAATAGAAATTTTGGACAAAACAACCAAACATTTCTGAAATCCATAAATAGTATAGGAAATGGTTTTTAGTCAGTCCCCTTCTCTAACCTAGATAATTTTAAAATAAAAAAATATATATATTTTGTCAAAAACTTACCCTTTCTATTTTGCAATTGTGAAATTGTTTCAGCCAGTGGATTTTCTACCTCAATGACTTTCTGTAAATTATCAATAAGTACAATGCGCGATAAGTTGGCGGCTCTAACATGACGTTCAGCATCGGCCAACACTTGTGGCTTCAACAAGTAGTCAACTTC